TTGTTGTCAGTTTCTATCCAGATTGCCTGAGTGAATGTCTGGAGGTGTAGGCACCTCGGAATGATTGTGTTAAGCTAGTACCAAGTCCCTTCCCCGTCCACCTTTATTCATTTCTTCACAATAAGGCCTTCAAATAAGTCGTGGTTGTACGGCAGTGAAGCATCGGTGTTGAACACTGATGTCATGCTGTCGATGATGATGATGATGATGAGCTAATTGACAGACAAGTAGGTGTAAATGGGCTGTCGAATTATTCTGCGCCGGTGGATACATTTGTAAGTAATTAACAGATGGAGAATAGAAAGCTCCCTCAACCGGGAAGCTTGAGCATTCTTGTAAGATTATTGATCAAAAAAACTATGCTTCCTAATCAGCCACATTGATTTTTGTGCTTTTGTAGTGTAAGCTGAGGTAGTACGCACTAGAGCTGATCAGAATATAATAGTGTGCTGGAAGATATTGTCGGCTAAGAGGGGACATCAAGAAGAATAACAAAAATCTGCCGTTTTTTTCTTCGTCAGTGTAAGCGTAACCTTCAACTTTCGTTAGCTCCGACATCAAAAAAGGTGAAGCACGTTTCGTAGTGTATGATACAAGTACCAAACAGATTGCATAATCCATTTACCAGTAGTATTTAAAGTTTCCAAAGCATCACGTCTACTAGGGATTAGAACTAGTTGACACATAAGGAAGTTTTAGATGATAAACTTCTTCACAAACTCAGTGTTCCAAAAACTGCAGAAAAATCATTCATGTAAAGTGAATCTCAGTTTTTCGAATCAAGCAGAGTTGGATTTTTTTATTGGATGTAAGTTAAACAGAGAGTTTAAAAGCATACTGTGTAACGGATATACTCATATCATTTTGAGCCTACACCAGTAGCTGTGACGCGCTCTTCCTTAGAAAGTATAACCAGCCAAGCACTTTGAAGATCACAATAATTCTACTATTCAGTAGTCCCAATTCGCCTTAAATTCATCCATCTTTTGTTTTTTTAACTGGAGTCAAGCATTTTAGCAAGAGAGGACGACGAGAGTGGCATGATACGGACAAACCGTGCGCAGAGTTGTTTGCCCAAACTGACTAGGTGTACCTAGAGAATTTAGGCGTAGTCCTAGACATACAATTACGCAGTAGACGGGTATGGAGTTTGTACGTTTTTTCACAACAAAAAAAGACGGAAATCCGTTCCTGAAATTGAAGCCCTTCCTGTCAGGATAGGTTGCTTTTCCTCCAGCCCTTGCTGTCTCTCACAGATGGAAAATAGAGCTACCATTCCATCCTTAATTTTCTTCTGCCTATTGAGGGAATAAAATGGCAATAGATTTAGTTACCTTGGTTACAAAGGTATGTTATGTCCTTGGTATGCAGTAGAAAGTACAAACGTCGCTACGGTCAGTCAGAGTGGTAAAGAATTTTGACCTCTAAACCTACTGCAACGGTTTCTTTAATAACCAAATAAGATTCATTAAGCGATAAATAATTTAGCTGATTGATAAATTAAAATCTATTTTGTGATTTTCGATTGAGACTTCTATCAATATTTTGAGAGCATCTGTGTTGTACAATTCCTTATCTACTGAGAACAATTATTCCATCTTAAATACCTCTCTGTTTGAGGTCACTACCGTCACATTGCATTTCACCATTATCTACGCTGTCCTGATACCTTGCACATTGGGTCCTATCACAGACAGTTTTAACCTTTCACCGGCAAAGCTGAAAGGGACTAGAGTAAGGCACTGGCCATGAAAGTGAGCATTCTATCGGCTCTTAGTGGGAAATGTAAAATCATTTGCAAAATGATCCGGGCCTCTGAATCGCGTCCTGTACCCACATTAGCTTTGAAAATGTAGTACATTAACGCGATATCCGCGCACGATAATTCTCGAGTACGGTTTTGTGCAACCATTCATATATTGCCTAAGCAACCGCCCTGGGATCAAATAAGAACTGAAAGATCACCGGGACTCCCTTTGGTGACTGGTTTGACTGGATCCTTGGATCCAAATAAATCAGCCAAACGGATGCATCGTTATACGGACAAAAGTATGAAAATCTTCGGTTTTCGTAAAACATCTCGGAAGTACATCGAGGTCTAAGCAGGGCTGAACATAAGGCTGACGGTCGGTCTATGATCGCAGACTTGACAAAGGCTTTAATGCCAGTGCAGAACAAGTTATTACCTTTATATCCGTAGACCGTGGTTCTATGTTTAGAAAGGTTTAGTATGGGCATGGCGTTTAACCTTGCCCGACTACAATTGTACAAACATACCAGCTAACGGCACCACGGCACTCAACCATTCTTAGTCATACGTGTCTCGCGCAATTTCATTGATCTACCCATTTTCAAGTCACTTATTCTCCTCACTTAACAAACACACTTTCTTCAGACCCAGTTTTTTTAGCATAACAATAATTTCCTAACTAAATCGCTGCAAAAATTCCTATATTGGCACGAAACCGTGTACTGTGAGTTACAAATGATATAGTGTATCAGGAAACTGCTAAATACAAAATAGAAAATGGTGCATTTATTGTGAGAAATTAGAATTTTGCCCCACAGTTCGCTTTTGAAGTTCGCCAGGTTTTGTGATTTCTCGATTTAGTCCATAAATCACTGTGTATTTGCATTCACAAACAAGTTATTTTGCTGTTAAGCGGTCAACCGATGGGTCTAGAATGGTAGATAATTCTGAGAGGTGTTCGACCGTAGTAGTTTGAGAGGGCAGTGGATAACCTGTATTTGAGGGCTATGATAAACCATTCTAGTATTATCGTGAGGCTTAACCAGAAGCATGTGGTAGGCATTTTGGATTTTGTAATTTTGTTGCGTGCCTTTAACCCATGGTTACAATTCTGTGCACGAGTGCACATATGTCTAAGTTTTTTAGTCAACTAAAGTCATTTTTATGCGACAACAGTTGGCTGAAACCTTTTTGTTTACTTTTTGGTGTTTTTGAGCTTGAAATGGCGTAGTTTATAAGGCACGCATCTTCCAGCATAAAGCTCCGTGGTTCAAACCTAATCCCATAATCTCGTCTGTTTCTACCTTTGCCTGGGCAACGTAGCGGTATACCAACCATTGTGGCTTTTTCGCGTAGTGTGACAGCCAGACACCGAAAGCGCGTTCCAGCTGGAGGACGACTTCCTACTGCAATCTGTGCATTTACCTCTTGATTCAAACGTTATTTCCGTCTACTAACATTTATGCCACCAAAGTCTACATTTATCAAATCCAAAGAAACCCATCCCGTAATGTGAAATATTTGAACCCAGTTTGTGTTTAAAGGCATCGAGTTGCATTTTGCTCGCTGTAAACAAACCTGGCTGCTTGAATAAGCTGAATGTATTTCCGTTGGACACTCGGAATCATATCTACTGCTAGTGTTAGTTTCCTCCACGTGCACTAAAACCTACGGGTTCCATTGTTTTGACCTGTGTTTTATTGTCAGACTGTTCTATTTCATTGGACTTCAGATTTTGTTGACGGCACGAATGAGGTAGGCGGACAAATGTGGCCGATATTTGAAGTTAATGACTCTGCCTTCAGACCGATGTTTGGGAAACTAAATACACCTATAGTAAAAAAACTGAATTGAAAAAAAACATAACAAGAATTCACACACCTTAATTCCGGTCGACTTCCACTGAATTGTTTAAATAGATGGGGTAACTTTAAAAAATTGTGAAAATATTGGGAGCTTACTTAAGTTTGTATTTTATACTAGGAATATCAGCGTTACTAAATGTATTTGTCGTTTTATCGTTTTACTGTCGGGTATTCAAAAATAACGCTTTTATAACTGCAGAAGCAAATAATCGGTAATAATTCACAGCTGACTTATTTTAGGCTCCAGTTTCTTCTTTGAAAAAATAATGGTTTAACCTATATTAACCATCGGTCATTGCGCATCTAACATAACTGGGTGGTTCGTCATCCTTCCCTTCTGTTTTTCACCCACTTCCCGTACAGGAACACACGTGATGGAAGGTTCGGGTAAGATGGTTGTAACAGCTGTGGGGGTTAATTCTCAGGCTGGCATAATTTTCACGTTATTGGGTGCCACAGAGGGTGACGCTACCGCTATTCCACCCCCACCGCCGACTGAGTTCGCCACACAAACTGCTAACCCAAACGTGGATCGTAATGGACGCCCGACGCCTGCCGGTCATGGTCATCATGGAACTGACGATTTGAATAAAAGGAACGCGTCACATGTTGCGTTTAGAGGTGAAGGTAAGTTATCTTCCTGTCTTGTATTTCATCAGTCGCTCAGCAGGCAATGCCGTGTACAGTTATCGATGGCTTTATATAAGCAATAATTTCCCGCTGAGAACAAACTGACGCAACCAAAATGTAATGAGGTTTCCTGGCGGAGCAATTTTTGGTTTGTCAACACCTCTTCATGTACAGTTTCAGCTATTTTGCTTCGACTGATTTCGGATCTATCACTACTGTTTGCCAATATTTGGACTCCAACGGTTGGTAGATGGCTCACTGTGGTTATTTAAAATCCTGACGTCAGCTCCCACTGTTTTGCCGTCAACAAAAAAATTCTTTTATGCTTTTTCCTGTTCATGATCACGTCTGCCGTTCCTGACGATCGATCACGATAGGCAGTGCATGGCAAAAAGCACACATATTGCATCCCCAGGGTTTTTATCACTGGTCAACATCTGCCTGCAAAAATCGAATGATTTTTGTCCGAACAATATCGAGAAATAGGTGACTAGCGTTTTAACCAATGGATGACCTGAAAATCCCCCGCTAAACTACGGTCGCTATATGCGCAGACAATTGTACCGAGCGTGAACTGAAAGCAAGTGTGAAACTAAGTGATATGTTGATATTGCAACAGGCAATTATATCTGGCCATATTAAGTGCCCACATATAACGCAGCTACTCACTCACAACAGTATGCATGTGCACAAAAAATTCTGGAACTTCAGTCAACCACAATTTCAGAGAGTTGTTCCATCATTCAGCTTTTGTGCTTCCGGTCGACGGGGATAAAGAATCAACAGAAGGACTGGATTGAAAAATACGGAGGTCTAGAAACGGCCGTGGTATATATTTTCAATGATCCCGCGATGCATAACTAGAATAAACACGTTGACTTTGTAATGTATATACGTGAGATTCTAATGTTTCACGTTTTTGAAATCAGACAAAGGAAAATAATGATGCTAGCCAGGAAATTTATCACATTTAGTCACATTTCAACCGCATTCCCTCCGGAATATTTAACGTCAGAGATGGTTTTACTTATTTTCCTTGATTCAGCCGATAGGTATCGCTCTTGCTACACCAACCCCAGGAAGAAATAATATACATAGAATGTCAACAAATTGTTAATAGGGAAGGTCTATTTGCGTCATACTTTCGAGGGAGAATAGGAGTAGTCTCGATTTCAAAGCACAGTCAAGAAAAATCAATATACCCTGACATTTTACTTTGATTACATCGCCAAATGCTGTATAGAAAGGTTAATAGTTTCCGATTTCTATTGTTAGCACTATACTATTTAAAGCCATGAGCGCCCAACTTAATCGTGACTAATTAAACATGCGGAATAGCTGAAGAACTAACTTGCCCTAACGACGTCCATGTAGTGCGAACAATTGGGGTGGAAGTGATTCAGTAAGAAGGCACGAGATGATGCTAGTATTCAGATGGTGTTTATGTATGCACATTCTGTCGAGACAGGTGTTACGTTGATGGGATGTTTATGCACCACCCTCCCCACAAACCACGTACCATTCTTAGCCAACTGGGGCGGTAGTGCGCAACAACAAGCTAGCTAGACAGTCATTTAGGATGTTTCATGTAAAATTCATACGCAACTGAGCGTTTGCTCGGGTAAAACCAGTTTGTCAGTTACTTCTACACTGTGCACGTCAACACAATTTAAACTGTTATCACTTGGGTATCATAGTTTGTTGGTGCGCTATAGCCAAAATTTGCCGTAAACAAATTCACTTCAACAACGAAGGGAAGGTAGCTAGTAACTGAATCCCATGGCGTGGTTTTAAACTGAAAATTGTTTACTCGTTTAATAACTAAGGTGGTCTTATCTCATCGAGTGGAATAAATGTTTGACAGAGGTTTCATGCGTTTGGGCTTTACATTCTCATATAAGGATGTTGCTCAGTTGATCAACCATCGAATAGTTTGGGTAGTTTCATGGATAATGTTCGAAGTTTCTCTTCAGATTTTACTTTAAAAAAGTCATTTTAAACTAGAATTCCTAGTGATATATTGTAGCTGGTTAAGTCGATTTCATTATTAGAAACGCATTTTTCATATCTTTAGAGGAATAGAAACCTGTGTTCTTCTTTTTACTGGTTGAAAATTGTTCCACCAAGCCAAGAATGACAGGTCAGCTGTGTGTTAACCAGCACCTTTAACTAGCTTGCGTTTTATTAGTAATGTCCCTGCTCTTAGGCTAGTAAAAGCTCTTGGTCAGTGTGATGAACAAATTTGCTTTGGAGAGGACCATGGCAAATGTGTCTCTTATTGTGTGTCTCTCTTATTGCATCTACTAGTGAACTTCTAGGTTTATGGTTTGAAATAATTTTTAATCGACAAAATGCCCCCGGGGAATGTTTCATGTTCTTCATTTTTGTTTGAAGCCAAATATCTCAAATGAACAAAATGCAGTGTAGAAAACTCTAAAGTCTAAGGTTTGAGTTCGGGATCAGGTTCCGGTTCTATCCGCTTGTAATATTAATCCTAGAGGCACAGTTCAAAACGGCAAGCATCACAAGTCCGAATTTTATATACCAGATTCTGATGAGGAGATGAACATCTGTTCTACCGAACCACAATAGAATCAGTTGTTTCTGATTGGCCATCAAACTGCAAAGTCCGGTTAACTTCCCCGTTTTGCTCTAAAATCGGATAAGTTAAGTTTGAAGTAAACAGAAAAATACCTGAGAAATTCTAGACCCTATGGAAGAATTTCTTGTACTTTGCTTTGACTTCCTTTTCTAGAAACACCCCTCGCCTAACATCAGTAACTTAGAAAACTAATGCACTTTATTGTCACCGCGCGACAGATGCCTTTTGTCACAACAACTTAGTGGAAACTACGGCAATAAAGTTCGTTGCCATTAATAATTTAATATCTTTGAGTCCCAATAATAGGGGCCTCACGTAACGATGGCTTAGCAGATGAAAACAGTGCCACCACTGATTCCTTCTAAGGAGATTGGAAAACAACTAGATCTGCAAATACTGTCAACATGGCAGTAATTTGTAGACACAAGCCACATTTTCCATCTGTATTGCTTGTAGAATTTTTACGAAGTATTCAGGACTGCTGTTTTGTTTCCTTTATGTGCAAGTCTAATTAGAAAACAGCTACAGCGAATTGTGATCATATTTGACTTCACAAATGTGATCTTGGTGAGTCTATTTATCATGAAGCTAAACTTGGCCGACATTTTCAACGTTCCGCTTACTGTGTGTCGTGCGAAATACGCCGATAAAGAGAATGGAGCTGATTGTGTGACAAAACTAGTAGTAACACAAATTTTGTCCTAATAACAATGCAACTGAGATGGATTCGCTTAGGCACACCACACGTCTGGAAAAATTTAAAAAATGTGCAAAAACGCCATCTAGTTGCAAGTCAATTAAAAATTCTCGAAGTCCCAATGTCACTTGCTCTTGTGGGTGGAGTAATTTTAATGAATTTCACTTGTTAATTTAGGCGTCCTAAAACAGGCGATACAGGTCACGTAAGTTAAATGGGTTGGTGTGCATAATGTCTACATAGCTGGCGTCATTTGCGCGCTTGGTTGACTCTCAAGGTCGGGTAAATTCAAGTTAGGATGTTTCCTAGTTTAAACTTCAGAAAAATCTGTTGTTGTTACCAGGTAACGTGTCCCTTTGCGGTGATGTTTGAGAATGATAAAACATCTGCATGTAGTTGCGTTGTTTTTAAATAGGTTTATCTTATCATGCTGTAGTTGGAAAGCACATTATTCAACTCTGCTGTTATGATTACGATTTAACTCAATCTGTGGAGCGTCTTCCACAGAAAGACTCGTGTATTCGCCGTTTTTCTAGTACAGAATCGATACTTTTCATACCATGTGGGGGAATACGCATAACGTTTTAAAATTATGTTAAAAATCATACGACTGCGAGTGTAGTCTCCACTTACAGTTGTATACTATGTTACCATCTACTTAGCTTTTCATCCCGGGTGTATCATCATTCGTTTTTAAATTTAGTTCTTCCGTCCTGATGCAATTATTCTGATGACTCTGCACAAAAAGGGGACCACTTTATTCGAGTTTCACTCTTCTTAGAGCTCATCAGCGTTGCATATTCTTGACCATGTTTATGCTTGAACTCGCAACGTGTGACTTGCAGAGAGTCCGTGTTACCAGTACAATATCAGAACCAACGCGCCAGGACGAGATGATGACTGTGTGAAACAGAGTAATGGAAAGCGAGTTCTACGAATTCAAAGCGACCTACAACTAATCAGAAATTACTCAGAAGGTTTCAAGCGTCCCTAGCGCTATCTGACTGGAATGTCTTGAGAAGCGGACCGGTCGATCGACAATGCCAGGGCAGCTACCGTATCTATAGTGTCAGGAAACCCGTTTACATTTTTCAAGCGTATATGGAATCGCCTGTTGGGACGTGATAATTCTTGTACATCCAGTAGATGCGAGTAGAGTGGCGGTCACATACTCACATGGTGGATCAATTTTTCAGAGTTCAGACCTCGGCATGGTCAGGAATGTGCACTACTGAGAAATCCTTGTAAGAGTGGAGCTTGGGGCTAGTGCTTTGCTGTCATGTTTAGAGCTCAAGAAAACAAAAGAATATTTTGTAGTAGCAGAAAATAAATGCCCAAGATTTATTGGATTCGAAATCACTATATCTCGCGAAAGTCAGTACCTGGCGACGGGCAAAGTGATATTTACAGTACCCCGCTGGTCATCTGACATGTGCTACTTTAATGGAGGATAAATAATCTACCACAGGTATGACATTATCCTGGCCAATTCTGAATTCATGACTTGGTCCGCAGGACGCTGGTGTCAAATCATTTTTAAATCTTAAAATCATGTCCCGTTTGTAATTTTAAAAGGCGGTAATGCTACCTTGAAACATCAGTTACGGTTCCTAATTAGCCCTGGTTTTGTGAGCTTGTATCAAGGCCTTTTTACCGTACCGTGAACAAAGTAACCTGCATCTACTTCATCTCTAAGTG